GCGGTGTTTTGTAGAGTGTTTATATTTCTTGATAGAATACAAACCCTAGCCCCATGCTGCATGTAAACCCTCGCTATCCCCTTGCCTATGCCTGAACCCCCGCCAGTAATCACCGCTACTAAACCCTCTAAACAATTACTGCGAAAAGAACTTCTTGCACGCAACATTAGGGTTTAGGGTTTAGGGTTTAGGGTTTAGGGTTTAGGGTTTAGGGTTTAGGGTTTAGGGTTTAGGGTTGCGGGGGGGAGACGGGGGAGAAAGGGGGAGAAGGGGAGAGAAGAAATTGCTTATTTAGAAAAGGAAAGGAAATCAGGGTTTAGGGTTTAGGGTTTAGGGTTTAGGGTTTAGGGTTTAGGGTTTAGGGGTTTTGAGGGTTAGGGTTTGGGGAATAGTTGTTAGGGTTTAGGGTTTAGGGTTTAGGGTTTAGGGTTTAGGGTGTGTTCATATCTTAGGATTGATAACTTAGGGCTTCTTATTTAGGGTTTAGGGTTTAGGGTTTAGGGTTTAGGGTTTAGGGTTTAGGGTTTAGGGCTGCCAGGGGGCCCCCTGTACGGACAGGTCTGGCGGTCTGGTTCGAGCGCACACCTAAACCCTAAACCCTAAACCCTAAACCCTAAACCCTAAACCCTAAACCCTCAATAAAAACAATTAAAATAAAAAAATAAAAAAAAGTTTATTTATATTTAGTTATCGATTGGCCGTCTCCTGCACACCGACTGTCGGCGGTAGTGACCCTGAACCCTAAACCCTAAACCCTAAACCCTAAACCCTTAACCCTAAACCTTAAACCCTAAACCATAATAATAATAATAAATTATTGTTAGGGTTTGGGGTTTAGGGTTTAGTGTTTATTTTGTTCTTCTTTTCTGCTGCAGCTGAATCTCAGTCGGCTGCGGATCCTAACCCCTAAACCCTAAACCCTAAACTGTAGTGCGCTAGCACTACAAGTAGCTGCAATCAATAACGATAGGTAATTATGGGGAGTAAGGAGTGAGAACGAGCTAAGTAAGCCGGAAACTAGCAAAGAGAGTTAATTGAGTCTAACTGGAATAGTAGATTTGGCACACAAGGATCGTAGCCGAAATCAGACAAGAACAGAGGCCGACACAGTGCGGGGCGAGTCGGCCGCATCCAGAGGATGGCGCCCACGACGCCTGCAGAGGCCAGGGGCGTGTCAGGAAGGGGAAAAAACGGTTTTTTGATCACGAAAAACATTGAAATACGTTGAACTCGAACCGAGTTTTGACTTAACGTTTCCGGACAACGCACATTCTCTGTATTGAGTCACCGAACCTGCTTGAGGTTAAGAGTATTTGACCGCCGAGGTCATTACATAAACCCTAAACCCTAAACCCTAAACCCTAAACCCTAAACCCTCCACCCCTCAAGTCTTTGATGGCTTCCNCCTCCCAAGTCCGAACCCAGGGAAGTGTTAGCCCACTAGGCGGCGAGCGGTTGAAATAAATCGTTGGCGGACTGACTTGCTACAGGACGACCGAAGGCAATGCTGGATACGCAAGAAAACGAGCCGCAAATTCCCAAGATGACACTTTCGGAACTCCGTAGGCATAAGACACGAAGGTTGCCTCCTTCCAGGGGGAAGACTTGCAACCTGACGGAGACCCAGACAACACCGGGCAGAGGGACTGACACAATAACGGCCACTCCGGAGCAGGAAACTGACCTTCGTACGATGGACAAGGATGAGGCGTCACTCGAAGCGGGCGAAGACACCCTCGGCCAGGACGAGGCCACGCCAAACGCTGTTGACCCGACCACGGCCTGGAAGTTGGAAATGGCTCGATTTTTCCAACAAATGCGGTGCGACCAGAAAGGAAGTGCAGGCGAAACGAAGAAAGGGGCAGATCTCATAATGCAGTCAAGAATGGCAGCAACCGAAGCGGGACCAGANAGCGGGAATTTCGGGAAATGGGAATCGCGGAGGCTCAATGGGGTGTACTGATACGCAAATACCTAACAGGACGCGCCGCTACACAGTGGAATTTCGTAGTTAGGCCAGGAATAGATATGACAGACTGGCAACTGGTGTGTGAAAGACTTTGCGAAAGGTTCCTCGGGTATACGCGGGACGTCATGTTAAGCCAGATGAAAGAAAACGAGTGGACTGGCAATTACAACGAATATTGCAACGAGTTCTCAGACATAGTATCCAATGGAGAAGAACTGCCCGGACACGACCTGATTATGTACTTCCTCGCCGGATTACCCACGGATATCGGAGACGAGCTGACCGACAAAGGCAAGCGGACATTTTCGACGTGGAACGAGGCCGCGAATGCGCTGAGAGCGTACATGGTTCCATTCAATCTGTGGAGGGCCCAGAGAAAACGTGCGCAACAGGAGCTGCAGGGAGCAGAGAAGCCGAGACCTAAGCGAAGGAGTCACCTCAGGGAATACGGAGAGGCGAACAGACGCCACAACGAGGCTGTCCACGGCGTCAATCGTAAAACCTATTCGACGGGGAGAACGACGATGGACGGGGAAAGAGATACAACACGTTGCTTCGAGTGTACAGGCCAGGGGCACTTGGGAAGGGAATGTCCCCTGCGTAATGGCGTAGCAAGACGGAGAGGCGAAACTTGCTCGAAGTGCGGCGGAATGGATCACTACGCTAGGGATTGTGCAACGAACCGTCGAACAACGAACGGAAATCCGCGGGTCATCACGGCAATGCACACAGAGCCGCGGGAGGGAGAGTCACGGTTAAACGAGAAGGCCTAGGCATTGGGGGAGAGAAATGTCCTAGGCCAGAACGAAATAATGGCAGGGCGCACCTAGTAGCGTCGGGACCGAATGCCATTAACATCTCCACTTCTGCAAAACGGAACGATCAGGCGAGCGACGGGAACGAAAGCCGGAGGCACGGGTCATCGGCGAGCGGGATCCAAACTCATGGGAACGGGAACGGAACCAACGAGGGCACATCCCGTGCGGGACATGACGCGGTAGATCAGACAGGCCAAGAAGAATATCTTATACCCCCGTGGCTTTTGACAGAAGAGAGTACAGCGGGACAACAGCCTTACGGAACTCTTTGCAGAGTCTGCAGCGGCGGCAAAACAGCGGTCTTGAGGTTGGAAATACTCGGATATCCGCTGAATACGTGGCGAGCGAAGAGGAAACGTACAGTGCGAGATATGCAGGGTGTAGAAAGGCCGCAGGCCAAGGAAGATAGCAGCTCCAAGGCGGACGAAGAGAGGAAAAAGAACAAAAATGAAGGCACTAACAGTGTAACTCGAAGGCCCTATCCGACGGGCAGAGTGGCTGCAGAAGGGGAACGAGATGTAATTCGTTGTTTCAAGAGACGATTGGTCGCTCTTTAGCAATTCATGACGCACGTGTCCTGAGGGCTACAGTAACAAAGTATCACCACGAAAATCATCTCTCCTGGAAACAGGACGACGACCAAAGGCGATAGTCCTCAGGATGAACAAGATAGCCAAACGCACCAGAGAAGAAGGGACTTGGCCAGAATGAGAGATATTATGGAATCGAAGGGTACAGTTAGCCTCAGAGTACCGCAAGATGGTTAATGAGGAGGTGCGGCGGTAAGAGAACATACAAAAACTGATACAGTCGGCGACTGAGCGACGGCTGGACCTCGCTGAGATATTCGATCCAGCGCTGACGCGCGAGCTGCACATGCTATCAACATGACATGAAGAGCCTGCGCAGCTCGACACGATATCAAGCGAAAGGATTGGGAAGATGCGCCGGATGGATTTCGGGCGCCAAAGAAAGGGATTACATCGAAGAACAAAGGGCTGCGTTCTTGAAAACGACGAGATATGGTAGGATTTCTTGGGGGTCGACGAGGTAATATTGGGAGAGGAAATCCGTCGCCGGGCGGACGCCATCGAAAGGGGTGAAGATGCCGGACTACTGCAAGCTGATTGAGCGTACGGCCCCGAACTTTATCGAGCGCTCGCTGGCGAGGTCGAAATACCTAAGGGAGAAGAATCTGAATGACCATGCCGCCGTCGAAGAGGCGCTGCGGGAAATTAGAAGGGCTGCCGAGTTGGCAAGGCTGGGAATCTTGTTGTGACACAGACTGGAGGCTAGCACTGTGGAGTCGGAGCTTTCCCGAGCTGGAAATTGAGGCGAGCCGACTGTGAGTAGGAAGGGCTTGACCCCGCGAGGAACCAGGACCAGGACGTTGAAGGAATCGCAGACCCTGGGAAATCCCGAAAACATCCTTTCGAGTGGAAATTGGAATTATTGAAGCTGCATTGCCAAGTGACTGACGAAAGCCGAGACATCGCCGAAAGCCGAACCAACCCCCAGAAAGGGAATCGCCGTGACGACGACGGGACCAACATGCGTTCCTTCCTTTGTCAGTTAGAACAGGACTTCCGAGAAATGGAGGTACCAGAAGAACAGTGGGGACTCCATTTAAGGAAGTACTTGACGGGCAAGGCCATGGTACATTCGGAACTCATGCAGCGCTCGGGGACGGAAATGGCAGATTGGCAACTCGTACGAGAAAGGCTGTGCGAGAGATTCTGCTCACTGTCGCGCGAAATATGATGGAGCGTTCGGGGAACAATCGCTGGCGGGGAGACTACAACGAGTACATCGTTCGATTGCCGAAGTAGTCGCTCAGGGAGAAACTATTCCCGAAGAGGAACTGCTGATGTGCTACTTCGCGGGATTACCGGAGGAAAAGGCAACGGCATATGGGAAGGACCACTATGCCAGCGATTGACCAACTGGTCGACGTACACTGGCCGGAAACCCAAGATCAGATAATACGTCGTACTCTGAACTAATGTGGGAGCAAACCGATTAACCGGGAGGGCCTAGGCGTTGATGCAAAACTTTGAGACGTAGTGGTCGTGAGAGAGGCGGGAACGAATCGAACGGGAACGAATCGAACGGGAATGAATCGAACGGGAACAAATCTGGGCAGCTAATTCAGAGGCATGTGATGCTG